TTTTTTCCCTTGCCTTATTTTTGGGAGTTCTGTGGCTGGGGAACCCTGAAAAGAGCAAAAAAAAAAAAATCTTGAAAATTAATTGTAGTGAAGAATAAAATACAGTTACACAGTTTTAATAACATTTTTATATGACATCCACAGACTATGTACATCACCTAATTCATATATATTTATCTATAAAAGAACATTTTAGTTTATCAAGCTATGCACAGGAAATTAAAAAAATGAAGATTTCTGTTCCAGTCAGTGTTCTTGAATCCCCATGACAAACACCAAGTCTGGATAACTTACACAGAAAGAGGCTTAGCAAGCCTAAGACATCAGCGGTCTCGTAAGACAATCTAATCAGCCGCCTAGGAAAACAGCCCTGGGGCCATAAACACAAGGCTGACCAGGTCTCTTGTCTGTCCACTCCCTCTCCAGCAAACGTCTTCAACCAGAATGGCAGATATTCTGGATGCTTTATATTGGCCTAGACACATGTTTTCTTTCCGATCAGGGAGATGTGAATAGGAAATGACTTCAGTAGTTTCAGCCAGATTAGAAACTTCTGCTGTCAGGCTGACTTCCCACTTCCGTGTGCCTCAGCATGCCTTCAGCGAGCAGAGCCGCCGCCATTTTCTCACATACTTGACGGAGTGTACATTTGCTTGAATACATTCAGTGTCTGAAGAAAGGGCCTTCTAAAATATTTTTTTAATTATACAGTAATTTTTTAGATTTACAGAAAAGGTATAAAGCTAGTAGAGTTCCCTGTGACCCCCACCCAGTTTCTCCGGACAAGAACGTCTTCTCTAACCTTGGTATGCTTATCACAACTAAGACACCAACTTGGTACATAACTGCAGAATTGGTTCAGAATTCACCAGTTTCCTCACTGATGTCTTCTTTCCACTCCAGGACCCTGTTGGGATACCGCAGTGCATAACGGGCATGTTTTATGGTCTTCCTTTTATTTTTTCAACTGTTTCTTCTCTCACATAGTTACTAGAGATATCTTAACCCAGTTTTCTGCTGCAGGTTCTGGTTCATGAGGTTGCCACATAGCTCTGGCTGCATCATCTGACGGCTTGACTGGGGCTGGAGGGCTCACTCACATGGCTGCTGGCTGGAACTGCTGGCCACTTCCTCACCACATGGCCCTTTACACAGGCTTTCTCACAGCACAGCTCTTCCCGGAGTGAGGGACATAAGACAGTGAACAATGGTTTGCTTTTGGGTGTTTTTTTTTTTTTTTGAGCTATTTCATTCCAGTGCTGAATGGTTCCTTTTGCTGAGAAACTGTCTTTCCATCATCCCCTTCTGAATCCTGCTCTGGCTCATGGAGGGCTGGCCAGTAAGACAGACTATTTACCCACCCTTTTTAACCTCTAAAAACTATTAAATCGGGTGTCCCCTGAGTCTTCTGTGCATGCTGAAGTCACTCCAGTCACACGGCCTTTCAGTATACACCCAGACCCCGAACATTCCCATTCCCATCAGAGTCCGTTCACACAACGGATGGGGTGCTGTTCCCCACCTGATCTTGTTTCCTCCACCACCACCCCCAAAGGGGAAAGAAAGCACTTCATACAAAGACATACAAGGCTCATTCCTCAGGTCTCACTTTATTCCCCAACGTGCAGTTGTATGTATGAGTCTGGTAGAAGGGTAACTATGAGCACTCACATTTCATTATAAATGGCAAAAAAAAAAGTTATCATGCCCCCAATTCAAATGCTATTTCAAGACCCAACAGCATTTTTATATCGTTCTATTAAAAACAACAACAGAAAAGGGGTCTACATAGTGCCTCGTGAGCAGAGGGAAAATGGAAGGTTTTTAGGTTTGGATGGTTTGGATGGCATATGTTGTGAGCACATAACTGTTCTCTGGCAAAATTATGCCACCCAGTGGTTCTCAGATCGATTTTGCCCCTGCCGAGACATTATTAGTCATCACAGGCAGTGGCGGGCGGGTAACAAAGATCAGGGATGCCATGCGTAGGGCACCCTCACGACAAGGAGGTATCTGCCCAGTATCACAGGGCCCAAGGCAGAGAAATTTGGCGTAGATCATGTGCATTTTCTAAAGGGCCACCTCTGGGCGGCCCCCTAAATCCCTCCTTTGATACCAGTCTCCCTCCCTTTTAAACTGAACTCCCCTCCCTGAAGTCGTTTGGTTTGCGTCCGCTGAGAGACTATTTTTCTATTCTAAGTAAATAGAGAGGCAGCTGTGGTTGGGAAAAGCAGGGAAGTGTCGCCAAAGAGCATTCCTCCAATCTTTTCTCAGCAGGAATGTTTTGAGGACTTGCAACAAGCTAGAACCTTCTTTTTAAGCTAGGATGGTGTTACCAGCTCCAGCGCCTGCCAGGTAATGGCAGTGGGTGCAGTGGCCGGGGCTGGGTGTCTGTGGCTGGGGTGGGCAGCGGTAAGGCTGGCCTGCCACGAGCTCCGCCTTTCCCAGGGGCTTAGAAGTGCAGGTGTGTTTGTGATCTCAGCAGCTTTTTTTGCAAGAGTGTGCATGTCTGTTCCTCTGTGGGCGAAACCCGGAGTCTCCCCGTGGGCCATGTTGCCCCTCCCCCAGCCAAGTGTCTCGAGCAGCACCCTAGCACGGCTCTGTCCAGCAGACACTGGCGTCACGTCAGCCTCGTTTCAGGCCCCAGTGCAGCTGATGTCTTCTCTTTTACACCATGTAGTCATTATGGAGCTCTGCAAGTGAGGGGTGGAAATGGCCTGTCCCATATCCAAGTGCATCCCATTTCCTGTGACTGCCTCACCGAGGAGTGAGCCTTCGCATCTTCTTGCCCATCACCCAGACTTCTGGAAGAGCAATGTCTAAATGAACCTCACAGACGGGCAGCCTGCATCTTACAAACACCTCCAGAACCATCTGTCATGAAGTGGTAGGGCATTTTGCAGAGGCAAAGTGCTTTACAGACGAGGTTCTCAGCATCTCATCACCGGTATCTGGCTTCAGATCCTAGTCAGCCCTCTCATACGCTGGTTGATCACAAGATTAAATGTGTTGTGACTTTTCCGACAAGTCCATATTATTTAAATTGTGTATGTGTATTTATACACAGCTGCAGATATGACCCATGCCCCCACTTTGAAGAGGCTTAAAATCTAGTCTAGCTTAAAGGAAAATGTCCCCTATACTGCATGTATTCTGGTACTTTGACAACTTGTTTTAATTACAGGAGCAGCTCCTGGTTATGAAAAATAAATCTCTTAAATTTTATTATACGGGTTAGTTATTCTTTTGAGTCAACTGTTAAGATGAAGGGGTGATAGGACTTTTTAAAGAATGAACCCAAAGGAATATGGTGGAGGATAGATGTTTCCGAGGGTGGGCAGTGTTGTAACACACATCTGAAGAGGCTTGAACACATCCCCAAATCAGAAACAGTGTTGTAAACCATTGTTGCCTCTATAAAAATAATATAATTTATAAAAGAGAAATGAGGGAGTAGAACATGTGCACAATGGAAGAGCAAAACATAACCCCCAAATTAAAATAAAAATGTGAAGCAATAAAATGAGAAAGGAATGCACTCCTGGGGACAGAAAGTAGCAACAAGCAAAGTGTTACAAAGTGAAGCTGGCAGTTGGTGTGTTTGCTGTCTGCATGTGCTTCTACTAGCTTGCCATAGGCACTGCAGTTGCATGTCTTAGAAGACGATAGAACACACCCACGAAAGACGGGTAGTTTTTTGCTGCACTACCACTGATTGACATTATTTTTCCCTGCAAATTTCACACCTGCACGTGTGGATGAAGACTCTCGTGGACTATTTCCATTTTTGAGAGCAGAATCGTATCTCAAATATTTCTTTGTTTTTTTTTTTTTGAAAAGGAGGGCTGATTGAATGTGCCCGTTGGCTATGGTAATAATGTCTTCTGCCTCCAAGAACTCAGAGAGGCTTTGCAGCTTGCCGACCAGGGCAGCTCGTTTCTGTTTGAGAACGCTTACGCTGTCTTTTCCTGATATCAGAGTCTTGTTTTTAAATTTTATAGTCTGAGTTTATTTCTAGACTATACTTTTTGTATATCTTGTAAAAAAAAAAAAGCCACTTTTACTTAATTTGATCACCACGTGGATTCCTGATTCACCGCACATGCAGGTTACATTGACAGCTGCATAATCCTGAAATGCATTCTTGCAGTGACTGCCAATATTTTATGATGACATCCCAGGAATTCAATTGCAGCTGCCTACTGCCTACTAATATGAGTGGCATCTTTACTGTTTAACAAGTTAACCAGCGGTAGTAATTCTATTTGTTCAAAGTACATGATACTCAAAGAATATCTGCCTTACTTATGAAAGTGAAAAATTGGAAAGGTCCCAACTATCCATAAGTGGGAAAATGATCAATTAAATTATGGTGCAATTATCCTACAGAATGCGATGCAGCCACCTGGATGAAAGTGAGTCTGAATTTATGGACATGGGTTCTACCTCCCACTAAGTACTTTATGTGCATGATGTCATTTAATTCTCACATCAGTCCCATGAAATTACCATTTTATATATGATGACACTGTGCCCGAAGTCACACAGGCAGCAAATGGTACAGCGATGTTTAGACCTGAGCTCTGTGGAGCCCCGAGTTCATTTCATTATTTAGCAGCACCGTACTAACACACAGCTCTCAGAGCCATATGCTGTTGGCTCTCGTCCCATGGATATCCAATTCAAGATGGACATTGTTTTACATAGACATGAAGAATAGGAAAGTCTCATTTAACAGCAAAAGCTGACATATCTCCACGTCAAAGCTAAATTGTTTCCAAAGGAGGTAAGTTGAATTTCCTTGCGTATACCAAGACTCAGGTTATGTGCAGTCCAAGTCAGGGATTTTTGTGCATTCTGAGTTATTGCTTGTTTTAAACTACCAGATTATGAATGAAGTAAGTAAGAAGGAGTGCTCTTGTTCAAGTATAATTATAGATCATGTAAAATATCACTTGTGTGCTTGTTTTTACAACTTTTCATTCTTTTAATATTTGCAGATGGACAAAAGAGAAAGAAGTCTCTGAGAAAGAAACTGGATTCACTGGGAAAGGAGAAAAACAAAGACAGAGGTAAAGGACAGAATGAACTAAAGCAAATGCATCTTCCATGGAACATAATGGTTGAATTTGGTGGGAGTTTTGAATTGCATAGATTTACCCGGTTCAACTCTATTATGTAAACTGGATCTCTGCAAGGGAATGTCATTAGGGCCGTTTTGGTCTACTCTTTTGTATTTGAGTGGCCTTGTACTGAATTGATGAGTTCAACTGGTTAGGGCAAAGTGTGGCTTCCGCCAAGTTTATGGTTCCAATTATGATTCTGGCTAGTCAGCTATGCATAAAGAAAACCTGGGTTGAGTAGCCATGGACAGCATCTCTAACACTAACCAGCTGTCTGGCAGACCTGAGGGTTAGGCAGGGCTAGTTGAATGAGCGTTTGACTTCGCCTCCCATGACTACTAGGAAGAAACCACCTCATCCTCATGGGTTATGGAAGGGTGGGCCATTCTCGGCATTCTGATGTCAGTTTACAGCATACTTACTGTTGCCCTATGTCTCTTGGGGGTTCTGGATCCTTTTTATATTGGTTTGTATCCCCTTCTGTGTTCATTTAGGAAATTGGCATATTAGTCACTCTTCCAGAGCATTTGTAGCCATTTTCAACAAATATTCATTGAGCCACATAATGGGCACCTGGGCCCAATTAGCATAGCAGAACCTTCCGTGGCTTGTTTCCGTGGCCCCATATGAAATAACCACTGCATGATGTGGTTTTATGAATAGATTTTTCACTTTCTGTGACAAAGGAAATGAGTGTTGAGTGAGCAGAGCCTTCCTTTGCCTCACCTTGAGCTCCTTTGTACAGTGATTTTCCACTTGCAAAGTAATGAAAGGCAGTGAACCTGGAGGGCCGATGGCAGAAACACACTGTCATCAGTATTGGACAAGACCTAGTTCGCACCATCGATCCCAGGCTCCACACCCAGATCTTGAATTGTGCCTAAAGGGTGGTGACAATTGGTTCTTTGGGCACAAAGGAGATAAAGAATTCTGAGTCACACACACAACGATGTTCTTCTCCTAGAGCATCGTTTTCAACCTTAGTACCACTGCCACTTTAGGTGGGATGGTTGTTGTGTGTGTGTGGCGGGGGGGAGGGGGATCCTGCAGTGTGTGTGAGGTGTTTAGCAGCCTTCCTGGTCTCTTCCACTAGATGCTAGTAGCGCCACCCCCAAACAAAACACCCCCAGACATTTCAAATGTGTAACTTCATCTGGAGAAAAGGTGATGAAAACGGCTGTGACCCCTACCCTTCCCTGCACGGTAGAATCATTCACGGGTCCTGTAAAATGTCAGTGCGTACCACCCCAGAAAATCAGAGTCCCCTGGTCTGAGGGCAACTGGGACCTTTCTAAGCTACGGATGTGTAGCACCTAAGAGGAGAGCATTGTCCCCTCATCCAGACGTGTCTCGGCAGACTCTGCTGTGGGAATGACAATGGCGCTAATCCTTCATTGTCTGAAAATTGTAGAAGGGCTTCTTGCCCCTACTTTTTAATGAACATTAGTAGCCAGCATAGCTCTTTTAAAGTAGAGCAGTGGCTCTTTGTCCCCCTGCCAGGGATGCTCTGCCTGACCAGTGTTCACGGTGGGCAGTAGGAACGGGAGCAGTCGGGCTGCATTAGCAAGTGCTATCTTCCACGTTGCTTTAGTCTAAGACGGTGATCCCGGGATTTGAAAGCTCATGTGTACGTTAGGTGATTCTTCCAAAGTGCACTTCCGGGCCAGGCTAACCAGCATAAGTGTTTTGCAAGGGAGATTTGCATCCTTCAGCAGAGCGAGTTAGGAGTGTGCTTGATCCTGTTCCAAAACAGCAGGGAGCAAGAGTGCCAAGGGACCTGCAGCGGGGCCCGCCAAGCCCCTGCACGGGGCCGGTACGCAGTTTGCAGACCAAGCCATTTTCACGTCATCATGGTGACCTCGGTGGCTATGTCTGAGGCTGCAAGAGGCTGACCGGGAACAGGGAAGGGGGTGGCTCCAAGGAAAAGATGCATGGCCCATCCCACATGGAGGCCCAGCAGACTTCGTGGTGATGAAAAACTGAAAGGTTATTTTTAAACCTCTTGTGCTTGATGCTTAAATGGCAGGCGTCCTCGGCTTATGGTAAGCTTAGTGCCAGGGCATAGTTTCTGAACATGAAGTCCTGTCCATGGCAACGCTGGCTGTCCTGGGAAGCGGGGCTGGGGACCCGTGCACCACCCCCACAGTGGCGATCGGCTCATGCTATTTCCTTCCAGCCGAATGTTAGCATTTGGGCTCGTAACAGCTGCACATGTGAAAAATGGTAACCGCTGGAATCCAAGAGCAAAAGGAGGAAAACAGGAAGCTCCGAGAGCCCTCTCGGGTTAGGTCATCTAAAAATAAATAGTAGCAGCGTTTTAGAATCGAATTGTTCGCCCAATAAAGAGTGATTCATCAGAGTTGATATGCTGGTCTATTAATTGATGCCATCACAATGAACTGTGTCCGGTATGTCACGTCATTGCCTTGACATAATACCCAGCAGATCAGGTGACGTTCCTGCGCCCCTCCTGCCATTTCACCACACGACTTTTGATTTGCATGTGAAAACTAATTCAAAACTGATGCTGATTAGGAAAACAGTTTTTATACAAAGTGATACAAATTCTTAATTTCTCTTAGTTAAATTGCACGGCAACTCAAAACTATTTTTTTTTCTTTAAGTTTTGCCTTCAGGGGGAAGGTTTAGAAATAGCTCCTTGGTTCCAGTGAATATGGCTCCTATCCAGAGCACCTTGGGAGTAAGCCTTACAGGGACATCGGTCGTCTGGGAGACAGATTTCTTCTCCACAGGGGCTTTTCAGATTATACCATCAAATGCGGAGATTGTTCATGATGCTGAAATCACATCATGCCAAGGGTTGTTCTTTGCTGAGTCTGCTGGGCTGGGCAGTTTCACTATATGCCGTAGTTGGTAGAGCTTGAGCTTGCATCGAAGTAGAAAAGTCAAGTGTCAGTTCTCACGGGTGGATTTTTGCAAAGCAAATGTGCTGAATGAGCATGCGCTGAGGGGCTGGGATTCCAGGGCAGGAGTGGGAAGGGGCAAGCTTAGCCAGGATTGCGTGGGTGCACCACTCTGGTGCACCGCTTTCGTTCTGCACCAGAGTGCAGTGAGACTTGTCAACCTGTAAGCAGGAGGAGGGAACTCAGTGGTGTCTTCACACAGATTGCCATATTGCAGGGGAGACCATGGCCTTTGAGGTGCAGGTGGGCAGGAGTACAGAGAGGAAACCCAGTGCCGAAGGTGGAACCACCTCACCCTCCGGTGAGGGTGAGGCCCAGGATGGAGCCAGCAAGGGCTGGGGATGGAGGCACGCAGAAGGAAGGAAGAGGAGAAGGTGGAAGGAGTCTGTAGCCGGTGTATGAAATTAAGACTATGCTGAGTGGGGAGGCCCAAGCAAGCACCTCGCACGGAGCCAGCAGATAGCAAGCTAGCTCCCTTACCATCGACCACCCAGGCTGCTTGGATCGAAGGCACGGTTTCAGTATGCCCTAACATAGGAAGTCAAGTCACAGGGTTCATTTCTTGCAGATCCCAGGAGACAGTAGGGGTTAGGGGTGTCGCCGTGAGCCCCGGGAAAGGGCCCCCAGGTATGAGCGCGCAGGGGATGGGGAGCAGGGGAGCAGACCCATGACCTGCAAGGCGGTGGGGGCAGAAGCCACTAGCCATTTTCAGGCTGGGTCTCAGTGACTGCTTTAGCAGGTACCCCGAGCAGAGCAGAGCAGGAACTTGTAGTGGGACTACGTTCAGGCCTGTATCCAGATGTCCAGACTGTGGGTGTGAGCAGGTTTGTCATGCTGCCAGACGCCTAGGCAGCAGCTCCAAAGAGACGTTTTCCACTGCAAATGAGGACAGAGTGAGATGGCTCATCCCGCGGACATCCTGGTCACCAGGGCGACGAGAGCCTGCGACTCTGAAGCAATAGGAGACAGCACAAGCAGGAGGGCAGGCCCAGGTGACAGTTTGGGCGTGGTAGTCGGGAGGGAAGAGGATGGCGCCACCTCCCCACCCCACTGTTCATGAGCGGTGACAGGGGCCAGTCACTGCTGAGGCCAGCGGAGAGCAGCCTCCTTCGCGAGCACAGGTCAGGGCTAGAGCAAGGCCATTGCCCTGGCCCCAGGGCGCCAGCGAGCCTTGGCCAGTGGCTTGCGGCTTTCAAATCCCATCATTGAGTTTATGGCGCTGCAGTGGTCTCCAGGCTCCTTTTCCCTCCTGACACAAGGGCTTTGACTCTACAGGTAAGCTTGGGAGCTTAAGACTGGTGAGCACTTCAAAGGGGTCTGCTCCAGAGGCCTGCGTGACTCCTCAAATTCACCACTGCCTTGTTTTGAGCAAGCCATACTGCTCAAGGGGTCCAGCCTTGAATTTCAGCGACGAGACACTGCTCTCTGCAATGAAGGCCTAGAGACAGCTCCTTTCTGGAGTCTGTAAGAGACCTCAGGAAGAAGCCATGAGCAATGAAAGAGATGATATCAAAACAAACTCAGCCGAGAAAAAGGCCTGAGAGAGAAACAAAAACCCACTAGAGGTGGTGAATGGAAGTAAGAGAGATAAAAATTGCTGGGACAAAGACTGGCTACTGAGTATTCAGTCATTCCAGCACACAACTCAAGCCAGGAGACCTTTAGGTATTAAACATGACAGATTCCAAAGGACGCTAGTTTGCTCCTGTTTTTCCCGGGGATGTTAAAAATCTCTGGGTAGTCTGGTTAGTTTCCTTATATGGAAAAGTCAGCTCGGAGAGGAATCAATAGTCCCCACTCCTAAGTGACCTGCACAGACATGTGTCACTTGTGACATTCATCAGTGTCCTCCTGCCATTAGTGTTCCCTGACAGTTTGTCTGTTTCATGCAGCTGGCAGCCTTGCCACCCACATTTCTAGCTGCTCCCCCAATCTATTGGAAGGAAGGCGATGTGCCCCCCTGACACGACAGTGGGGCCCCACGTGACGAACCCCTCCAGCCCCCGCTGCACAGCAGGTGGTGTGGTGGTTCTCATTTTGCTAGTGGAAGAAAAGGCCTTTTGTCAGTAGTGAGTGGTCGCCTGGGCGGGGCTACACTGGGCACGCTGACTACAAAAAGGAGATATGCCTGGGTATTTGTTTGTCTTCTCGTGTGCGCCTGGATTGTTCGTAGACTGGTAAACATCCCCCGAAAACCCTGAGATGCTGAAGTTTGGGTTTTTCACTTGGAAACAGCCCACATGTTATGCTAGAACCATTTCTGCTTCTCCTGTACACTCAGCCTTTGAACCCAGTGAAATTAAAATTGTTGTTGTGGATCAAGGAGGAAAACCTTTTAGAGACTCCACCTGATTTAATGTTAGCTTTTTTTGTTTTTTTCAAAGAACAAACAACCTTAGAGTTGTTTTCTTTTGATCGTCCTGGTTTTATACATAGGGGTTAACACAACGAGGGGAGCTGGCCTCTCATTGGCGGCTCTAAGAGACCTAATGTTGAGTCTATAAGAAATAAAAATGCAAGTATTATTGCATGATTGTCACTGAGTGTACCTATTAATGCTGTTCAGCACGAATCTGACTAGTGCCAATTCAGTGTCTGGGCCTGCGGGCGGTGTGCGTGTCCCAGGCCACCAGGCCCCTGTGCAGGCATCAGAGAGCACGCTCAGCTGCAGAGGAAGCTCTGCTTTCTGGCAGGTTTCTCCTGCCTCCAAGTGGTCTTTCCAGAGGACGTTGCGGAATGCATTCTGACCTCCCCTGGATGTCCAGTGCAGGCATACTTACGCGCAAAATAGAGCAAAGGGCTCGACTCTACGGAGGCCTTGATGGTGACAGCGTCAACCCAGCTGGCAGGAGACTGCACAGGCCAGGGCGACATGCAGAAAAGGCCGATGTCTGCCCAGGGGCTCCTCCGTCTTTCAGGCTCTCATTTCCTGTGCTTATTCTTTTACTGGAAACTTCGAAGGGTGTCCACCTAACTGAATTACAGTCTTTGCTTCATATGTCTCTGTGATCGCACATGACGGGCACTGTTCTGCGTATCTCCATAGCTAATTTCCACTCTCCTCACACTCTGTGCCTCAGGAGCGGGTGCTAGATCTTACCTAAGCTCTGGCCCTTCCACTGCATAGCTTTACGTGGAACGCAGTGGGAGTTCAATGAATGTCTGTTGGCTGAAGAGAGAAATGCAGTGTCAGGCCTTGTCAACTTGGGGAGCTCTCGAGACAGAGGCATCAAAGACAGTTGATGAAACTGAGTCCTCAGGAGGGCCGCGTGCTATCTATAGTCTAGCAGAAATGCCTGATAAAGTTCCTCCCCCTGAAAGGTACTTGTGATGCCTGGAGAGGAGCTGGAGGCCTCAGCTTCCAAGCCCCGTGTTCCTGCTACAGGCAGAAACACTTTGAAAAGCTTTGACTGCTCGGTACCACAGAAGTGATCTGTGTTTGACTGGGGAGCATGACTGTGTCCTGCCTTAGGTTCCAACAGGAGAGAGTGCATAGCTCCGCTCATCTCTGAAGGGGATGTTTGTGTTTTGCTTACAGAATTCACCCCGCAGGCATTCGGGATGCCCTTATCCCAAGTCATCGCCAACGACCGGGCCTATAAACTCAAGCAGGACTTGCAGAGGGACGAGCAGAAAGACGCATCTGATTTCGTGGCTTCGCTGCTCCCATTTGGAAATAAAAGACAAAACAAAGAACTCTCAAGCAGTAACTCATCTCTCAGCTCCACCTCGGAGACACCAAATGAGTCAACATCGCCGAATACCCCAGAACCGGCCCCTCGGGCCAGGAGGAGGGTGAGTTGCCCTTGGCTGGCGTTTCCTTTGCCACCCATGCTGGGACAACCAGAAGGTCGCTCCCTGACCTGCGCTTGCGTGGAAACAGGGCCTGTCCCCCTGTCGACAGCCCCGCTCAGGCAGAATTTGCTCTGGCCGCGTGGCATCTGGCACACCCTCAAAGCCTCCCCTGGCCTCACAGGGTGTCACTGCCCCTCCTCGGTTGCCCTGCCCCTCGATATCCTGAACATTCTCCACCATCACCATTGCTCCTGCATGAGCCTCAGGGCAAGCCTTGTATTTTTGTTCATCTCTTCACCTCCCAAGAGCGTTTGCTGCTGGTTTCCATTAACAAGGACATTTCTTCCTTGTTCCCTCCTCTGTGACCGCTTATTGCACACGTACAGATGTAGATCCATATTCCTTCCACTTGCTGCTAAAGTAACGCGATGCCATTTATTACGCGAGTGCATTGGGCACTGTGCTGTTTTCTGGCATTTTAAATTTAACATTTCAAGCCAGGACAGCTGCGCTTTCAGGCCAACTGTGTTGATGATGGGGTACTCTGTGGTTAGGCAGCTCTAAAACTTCCCAGGTTGCTGGAGAGCATCGGTCCTCCTTTCCCTTGAGGCCCCAAATCTTTGCACCTCCACAGTTGTCTCCTGCCATGGCTAAACCCCACACACGCCTACAGCCCACACTTCCCAGTCTGCCTTGAGCACTCAGGACTGCTCCACGCCATGGGGGCCTGATCTGCTGGTGTTCTTGAGGCTTTAGCTATGTCTCAAAATGAACAGACGACAGACACCTTGATGGAACACTCGAGTGCGCATGAGAGAGCTGTCCTTCCCGTCCGGTCGCTGTCTCTGAGACTGCTCAAGTTAAGCCATACGGCAACAGCTCCAAAATGTTAAGTTTTAGCGTCCTGGGTAGCCAGGGCCCAGGCAGTGCCCTTCCCAAGTGCCCTCTCCTCTGCCCAGACCCTGCTGGGTGCGCACAGCGTCATCCTCCCCGCTCCTTCCCGTCAGCCTTCACCACCCCAAGCTCGCCACCACCCCCATCTCGGCTGAGGGCTTGCCTTGGTGGCCAGAGACACCCCCAAAGATGAGAGGCAGCAAGGGTTTCAGCCCTGGTGTCACCTCCCTGCCTCTGCCAGAAGCTGCCCTTATTAATGACGCTGGGACGCCGGGTATTCATGGCCTTGCTCCCGCACACCTGAGCAGGGGTAGTCCGGAGGTGCCGCATCTGCGTTTCCCCCAGCGGCCCCCGGACACTTGAGCCACAGCGGTCACAGCCCTGGGGTGCTCCTTTCAAGGCCACCTTCCTGCCAGCTCTGATCCCGACCCCGAAGGGTGTCTCCTGGGACCACTTCCCTAAGGAAGTCTCTGGTGCCACTTGTAGGAGGACCAGACGGACACCGCTGCATGGAATCCTCCCGTCTTTCAGTGTTCTTAGAACTGAACTGGGAAAAAGGTACAAAGTGAAGAATAGTGCAAATGTATATATAGGGAAAAAAACACACACCAAAAAAGGCATTGAAATGAAAAAGTATATATACTTCTTCGAGTCACAAGGGCTTTTTATTTTCTATTTACCAGGTTTCTCTCATGTGACCTCATTGACTATGTATGCAATTTTTGTCATGTTCTTGAAATGGAGTCGTCAGGCCACATATGCTAATGATATGCTTACCGTCTCTTGCCTCCCATTTGGAAAATGTCTGTTGTTGAAAGTGACTGCTGCTTTCTTCCCTGGTACTGTGGGGCGCTCTGATTCTTTCCAAAGGTGGTCTGTTTCGTCCTTTTGATCGATGAACAGCGTAAACCAAGCAGGGTTATTTCCGTGCCGTGTGCGGGGTGACCGCGGGGAGCAGCCGCTGGCCTTGCTCCGTCTCACTCGTCATTCTTGTCCATGTGTGCTTCGCAGGGTGCCATGTCAGTGGATTCCATCACCGATCTCGATGACAATCAGTCTCGGCTGCTAGAAGCTTTGCAGCTCTCCCTGCCTGCTGAGGCGCAAAATAAAAAAGAAAAGGCCAGAGATAAGAAACTCAGTCTGAACCCCATCTACAGACAGGTCCCCAGGCTGGTGGACAGCTGCTGCCAGCATCTAGAAAAGCACGGTAAGCACCCCGGCCCCGCCACCCCGGCTCAGCCCGCCCTCTCCTCAGCACCCCCGTCTGAGCTCCCGATGCAAGTCCGTGTTCACTTGACCACCTGAGCAGGCTCTGGGCTGAAATTCCCTTCTGAAGAAACTTCACAGATGTGAATACTTGTGTAAGAGGGCCACTGGGCTACACAAGATGGGGGTAGACTTGATGGCATTCACGCTGCTCAGCCCCCGCGCGTACTCAGGAGAGACGCTCCGAGGGCAAGAGACTCAGAGAAGGTAAGTTCTGGCAGGCTGGGACTGTCCCCACCATCAGACAGAGCTAAGCCATTTCCTTATCTACACACAACGCTCGCCCACCAGGCTTCCCAAAGCAAGGGTCCAGCTCTTTAAGAAAGCAGAAAAGGTTTGAAAGGCTTTCCTTGTGTGGATAGGAAATGCCTTGCTTTGGACAGCAGGTTTTGATCTCGCTGCTTGCATTTGTGTGGAAAGGTATCCATTGCAACTTCCCTCTCAGCCCTTTGGGTGACTCCATTACAATCCATATGTTGACTTAACTATGTTGTGTAGTTTCCTAAAAGACATAATAATTCTCTGAAACTGAGATCTCTTTTTAGACATCCAGTTGCCATTTCCATAATCTGTGGCTGTAGTGTTAGCACGCATTTTATGGGCATGAGAAAAGTTTGTTGATTGCTTCTTTATTATAAAAATAATGTGCTCCTTGTCATGAAGGAAAAAGAAACAAAATTCTTCAATTTCCCAGAAACACACACTACAACCGAAAGGAAGAGACAATCACCAGAAAGTCAAATTCCATTATGTTTCTGGAATTTAAGCTGACCTTAGGGTGGGGCCTCCCACTTATTATGCCTGCCCTCATTACTTGAGGTCCCGGAAGCCTGAGAGTCAGGCGGCCCGCAGGCCCAATGTCCATCTCAACTTCTGATGAAGAGAAAGGCGGGCTTGCTGATGACAGGGCAGGACACAGCACTGATACGTCTCCTGGTCAGAGCTCTCCTTTCTTGACAGACACCTGGTTTTTATCAGTGACTGTCTGAAGTCGTTTCCTGAATCCCCACACTGATTCTTTTGAGGAAAATTCTGGAAGGCTTATATGGGTGAACAGCATTGGCTGTCTGAGAGGTGTCATTTGATGTACCTAAGTGTAAGTTATTACACAAACATTAAATAGCTTAAGATCAATGGAGAGACATGGGAATTATAGCGATCGATCATTAACTGTTTTTTTGAAAGGTTTATTTATTTATTCATACAGAACTGGGGTATAGAGATGCAGAGGGTGAGAGGATTCACCAGGGACAGAGTGGAGAACAGAGCAGAGAGATCGACGAGGTTCACTGCTGAGGGGAGCAGCGGGCGGGTCAGGAGAGGTCTGCCACGCCATGTGGATCTCCTCCGGGGCAGGCGGGGATCGAACTCATGCGGAAGTGGCTTAAGCTTCTTAGTGCAGTGCTTTAACCCGCTGCGCCACCACGGAGGGCCAAACTGGTTATTTTTTTAATCACTGTCACTTGTACTAAGTGGAAAAGTACTATAGTGGCGGAAATAATGTCACAGCAATTGGGGCGTTTCTTCACAGCCTGGAGGAATTCTGCCCAATGCACAGTCCCACCTGTGCAGAAGGTGCTTCTGTGTGGTACCTCACTTCTGTGGAAATCTCAACTCTTCAGAAACCACAGAGAATAAGCAGACAAATGCTGCCAACATTAAAATGCCTAAGACCAGCTATTGTATTGCAAATGATTTTGCACAGAAGAAGACACATTTGTTCAGTCAGGCCCTATTTCTCTCTGCAGAGCAGTGGCTACCCTGTGGAATCTGGGTGTTTTCTGTGCATCAGTTAACTGAGTCGCTGCACAGCTCCTGAGGTCCGTACCTAGTGTTGGCTCATTTTGCAAGTGAATAAGTATATTCCTGCACTTGATCCCAGATCAGTTGGTTATCCTGTTTCCAAGCTCCCAGAGAGGTAGCAACACTTCATTTGGCTAAGGGTTGGACACAGTTGTGAGGTAGACAAATTGACAGCAGCAAGAAAGAGGGTCCAAAAGTCTTCTGAAAATAGCTGCAAAGCAAAATCCCAACCAAGGGCAAAGCACCAATGCTTGTGACGTCAGCCACGGCTAAGCTGCCGCCATGATTCTCTCTAGTTATTCTGGAAATTCAGCACAGAACTTGTAAGATGCAGAACTGTTAAGTCAGATCTCGATGGATGTTATCTCTTCTAACGAAAAAGTCCCAGGAAACCAACTATAAAAGTTTTATACTTAATAGATAACCTGGCAAGACCATAAAGTAAATATTCAAAAAGATATCTACTGGCTTTTTTTATGTCCTTAACAATAAAATAAGTCATTCATTTTAAATATCAAAACTATAATCTGCCTAGAATACCTGTAAGAAGAAGAAACCGCAATGATTGAAAACTGCAGAGCTCTACCAAAAGATAGAAAACATGACAAACAAATGCAGATGATTACTTTGTTTCTGCATGGAAAGAAACAATGTGATAGAGACTCGAATTCTTTCCAACTTGATTGTATATTATACTCATCAGTGGCAAGAGGAAAATAAACAGATAAAATAAGGTTTTGCCCCACACTGCCCCCAGCCAAATCCCGCTTACCACGGAAGCCTGACAAGGATGTCTACATTCAGGCCCAGCTGGGAGCAGGGTGTCCGTGGCGCCAGGAGCTTGCACATCCTGTCACCAGCCTTACAGGGACCGCCTATGCCATGCGGCTTCAGAATGGCCTTTAGCAGCTCCAGTGTGGTCTTCCCTAACTGGTCAGCTGAGTGAGGAGAAACCGGAGTGCTGCTGTAGGCTAAGCGTAGTGCCCACCATCACTGACGGTCGATGCTTGCACAGGAAAGGGCGCATCAGATCCTGAGGGAAGTGCAGACATCACAGCGCTTTGACATTTCCCGCCCTACCCCCCCCCATCAGTGTCCCTCCCAGAAAGCATTGGCTCTCGCCACTTCTTTACAGGAAATAAAGGGGTGGACATAAATGCCCCCAAAGCGTGTCCAAAACCAGACTGTGGGAAATCGACAGCCGGGAATCAGTGCTATTTCTTCAGCAAATTAATTACAAGAAACATAAACAGAAAGGAGGAAGCATGCAGCCCGAGGTGCAGAGAGGCACACGGGCCTGTCACAGCTTGCCAGCCGAAAGGGGCGGAATGTTAAGGACATGAAGTGACATGTTGAAACGGCTAACGTGTGCACTGATGGGGCTGGCTAGAGACCTAATGTATTAGAGCTGGGTTTCTCCACCTGGCATGACAGACATTTGGGGTCGACATTCTGGGTTGGCGAGCTCCCTTTTATTCGTGGAGCCCATCTCTGCGCCTCTAGGACACAGCCCTAAGAAAATCAGGGATGTTACCCAAGACCTTGTGAGGGTGTTTCACTACGAGGCCGCTTAGAATGGCAGAGCAAGCGCGTGTGTGGTGGGGCGCCTCTGATTTTGGGGGGACGGTGAGTTGAATCATGGCACATTCACACAATAGACTATGTTGAACCCCCTTTAAATGACATTTATGAGGAAGGAATGTTTACTGGCAGAAAAATGCTTATGGCAAGCAATACAATTCTCTCATCTGCCTGTGGGTATGCATGTGCAGTATGAGCTCAGGCTGGAAAGAAAGAAACCAAGACATTAAGAGTGGTCGTTTCTTTCTTTTTCAAGATTTATTTATTCATACAGAACTGGGGCACAGGCCAGAGATGCGGAGGGTGAGAGGCTTCACCAGGGACAGAGCGGGGAGCAGAACAGGCAGATCGATGAAGTCCACTGCTGAGGGGAGCAGTGGGCGGGTCAGGAGAGGTCTGCCGCGCCCTGTGGTCCCCTCCGGGGCAGGCGGGGATCGAACTCATGCGGAAGCAGCTTGAGCTTCTCAGTGCTGCGCTTTAACCTGCTGCGCCACCGGGGAGGGCCCAAGAGTGGTCGTTTCTTACAATGTACTTTTAAAATAAAATATTAAGTCTTTTTCAAAACATTACTTTTCTGCATTTTACTTGTCCTTTAATAAGCACAAATTGTAACTGTGATCAGAGAAATACCTGTTTCAAAAATAGATGAAGAACTGAAAATTCACGTAGCATTCTCCTTTGAGTAATCATTCTGAGTAATGAAGAAAACTTTACTTTGCTCATATGCAGTAGGTGGAACAGTCCATACTCTCACATAGCGAACTTTTCTTTTTTATAAAAAGGTGGTCATTTTTATTCGAGGTCAACTTGTTATTACCCTGCATGCTGTGGGGTGCTGGTGGCATCTGTTCTGCTTGTATCTGATTTCCCGCAGGGTTTCAAGCTCTGAAACAGGACTTTGACTTTGTTTGCTTATTTGCAGGCCTCCAAACGGTGGGAATATTCCGAGTTGGAAGCTCAAAAAAGAGAGTGAGACAAGTAAGTGGAAAGTGAAGATTGGATTGGACATTCAGTAGAGGTCAAGCTTATCCAGATTCCTTTCCGAGTATCTTTTCTGTGCCCTTCAACGAATGACAGTATAATTGAATCCCGAAAGTAAAAGGAACAACTCAGAACCTGAGAGTTGTGCTGCAGTTAGGATCAAACATTTGGAAGCAGAGTGCCTGGGTTTCTATCTCCATGTCATTTACAGCCATACACGGTAATTTAAAACCTCCTCTTGAAACTGTAAGAGCAGGAGGTTCGGAGAGAGCACGCGGGTGCGCTGGACACAGCTGCATAGCAGCGACACGCAAGCGCCAGGTGAATTAAGCCGTTACCAGGCTCTGCGTGTAAGACGCTGATGGATAGCTTTGCTTCCCCAAAACAAATAAGCTCTTAGGAAGTTTCCATGGAAGTATTGCCCCCCCCAATTTATTTTTCCTGTAGACTGTCTCCCCTAGTTTCTGTCAGACCCGGCAACATTTTCAACAGAAGTTTGACAGGAGACCTTCAGGAAGAGGTGCTTGACCCGGCCAGGTGCCTGTGGGAGCAGTGACTTTGTCGACCACAAACCATCCTTTGAGAAAAGAATTCATTTATTGGCTAGGAGAAAACCAAAATGTTATTTTCCCTCTTGGTTCAAACAGAAAAGAGGAAGGAACTCAACTCCAAAAATGAAACCAAATGGAAATAGTTGTTAGTTCGATGAATGACAGTTGCTCCAGTGACTGAAATAAATATCTGCTCATATAGCCTTTCAGTTCAGATAACATGCGCTTTCAAGAGAGGTCTATTTTCTGTTTGTTTGCTTGATTTTAATGTTTAATAGTCACACCAGAGACTACTGAACAACATCTAACTCTTCACAGAAGGACTTGTGGGAAGGAAGATAGTGTGGTAATAGTTCTTAGACCTCTCACCTGTGTGGGAGTGCAGGCTATTTTCCGTATTACCCCACCGAAGCTGCCCACCAATGTGAGGCCCCCTTTTGCTCACTTCTTGCAAGGCATAGAGTGATTCAGAAACTTCATTCAAAATCACACACCCAGTGACACACACAAGAGCACATCCTCTAGAGCAAGCTCTTTGCACAGTCCGTTCTCCCACATGTGCAGGGCCTCCGAAAAGCAACACGGTGTTCTGGGGGCTTCCCAGTAGGAGTGGTGTAGAGGGAAACCATGAGCTGCCGAGTCAGTGAGCCGTCCAGGGTCTCATGGCTCTTCTCAGGTAGAGGCGGTATGTGCCAGCCGTGATGTGTCAGTTTCATCCGCATCCAGCAAGAGGGAAACCTTTGCATGGAGATTTATTTGATTATACAATGAAAATGCAACTGATGACTACTGAATTTCTAGTATGAAATAAGTTCCAGTTCACTGTTCTATCCAGTCATAGCAGCCCTGCTTGGTCTTCAAAACAATGGTCACCAAATTAAGAAGTAGTCACTGTCAGCCTGAGAGCTGGGGTGGGCGAGGTCTGTGCCTCTTTATTCCCCACCATCTTGGAGGACCTGGATTAAGGCCTGGGACTCAGAAAGTGTCTTTGGAATAAAGGGATGAATGATCCGCGAAATGGAGTCTTCTAGAAGTTCTTTGCGTAGTGTAGAATCGTAAACACACCTAATTGCGCCTACAGCAGAGAACAACACATAAGAGCAGTTGGGCTGCCAGCAATGAAAGTAGGGTGCAGAGTTAGGACGCCCCTCTTTTTGCTGTTGTGATTTCCTGTGGCTCTAAGTGCTCTACGCCAAGTGCTCTACTATGATGATGGAGGCAGGGAATTCTGGGAATTGTTACTAAGGCTTTTAGTCATTGTCATCTTTTAAGCCAAAGTCATAAATGGCTTACCAGGGCTTTAAATTGCATTGTTTGCAGGAAAGCCTCTTTGCTTTCTTGTTGAGTATTTCTGGAAAATGTCAAATTCCCAAGGTGGTAGGATCGCTGCCACGCAGACTGCTGTGTAATAGATCATTGCTCCCTCGGCAGGTATAGCTGACCTAGCCCCTCTGTTCCTCCTCCAGCCTCCTGGAGGTCATTAACCAGCCCTCTGCCTGCATCTCTCACAGGAGACCCGCAGAGGCTGTACTGAAGCACACATCTACGCAAACACGCACACGTTCACAGACACTCGGGGCTGAGGTCAGCACTCGTGTGGCTCCCCCACGTGTGTGGGCTTGTCCTCCTGGTCTGCACAGCTTCTCACGAGCGTGGGGGCGGTCCCTGCGGGTAGTTGCGAGCATACCCAGTGAACCTTTATTTTTTCCAGTTACGTGAGGAATTTGATCGTGGGGTTGATGTCTCTCTGGAGGAAGAGCACAGCGTTCATGACGTGGCTGCCTTGCTGAAGGAGTTCCTGAGGGACATGCCGGACCCCCTTCTCACCAGGGAGCTGTACACGGCCTTCATCAACACTCTCTGTGCGTACTGCGCCCTCCAGCACACCCAGCCCTGGGCCTCCTGGGGCCCCTGCCTCCACAGACCCTGGCGCCAGTGTTTCCCCACGACTTTCTGGGCCTTATTCCTTGGGTGCTAATGAGTGGGCTGATTTGGAGACTCGGTTGAGATTTATTCTGGGGAGAGTTAGCAAGAAGGTTGCAATAAAATGAATGAAGTAACCAAGAGGAAGTTGGGAAGATTTCAAGCGCCCCTAGCAGAGAGTGCTGTAAATGGAGGCTTTCGAGTAATTTGGAGGGTTCTCAGTGAGTTGGTGCCTAAATCTGAGTTTGAATTTCTAGGACAAGGAAAGCAACGGCCATGGGCACCCCGAGTGAGAAAGGAGGGCGGGCCACAGGGCGGGGGGCAGATCCCATCACCGGAGGCAGGGCTGGCCCGGAGCTATAGATGCAGCTCCTGAGGAGGGGGAGAAAAGAGGGCAGGTGGGCGTGGGGTGAGCAAGCCAGAGCTGCGCCAGCCTCCAACAGGCTTCCTGCCAGTGCCAGGACGGCAGTAGGAGCCAGGAAGGCAATAGGAGCGTGGAAGCAGAAGACGCAGCCGTGTGCGGGTCTCGATTCAGGTCTATCCGGTGTGTGTTCATTGCGCAAGAAAAAAGCCTCAAGTCTGTCATGAACTGAAAATGTAGAGCGGTCCCGAATTCAGTTGTTGTTAGCAAATGTTTCCCAAGAACGAAAGGTTGCAGGCCTTGAAGCAGAGCGTCGGGAAGGCGGAGCCTGTCTGCCCTGGGCTGGGCCCGGCTCCTCTGGAGGGCGCTGTTCCCAGGCCTGCGCAGCTCCCGCCCAACTCCGCCTTTGCCTTGGTCGCCAGCCCAGCAGCTAGGGCCCCGGAGGGTGCGTGAGGAACAGGTGTTGACCTGCCTTGAGGACCCCCTTCTGAGGACAGCTGGGAGGGGCTCTCCGCCAGGCAAGCGCCCCTGTTACTAACTGCGAGCCCCTCTTGCCTTGCTTAGTGCTGGAGCCAGAGGAGCAGCTGGGCACATTGCAACTCCTCATCTACTTGCTACCTCCCTGCAACTGCGATACCCTCCACCGCCTCCTCCAGTTCCTCTCCATCGTGGCCAGGCACGCCGAGGACGACGTCAGCAAGGACGGGCACGAGGTACGCCCCCTGGCTGCTGTCCACCCCGCCTCTCGCCTCTCTTGCGTCCTCCTTCCTGTTTTAAAAGGGCCAACAGCTCATCTGGTCAAACACTTCACCTGGAGGAAATGGCACGTCCCGTGTCCACTTGTGCGTGTGGGAGGAGAATTGACGGAGGCGGGTGGCCCTGGAGGGAGAGCTCGCAAGAGGCAGAGGCCGTTCTGTCCTGGGATGTTTCAAGGGCGCTTTCAAATGAGGCTGCCACTTTCCGGGACCTTGCTGTGCCCAAGGCTGCAAATTTCCGTGCATGTGAGGAGCCGCGGAGGTGCTTCCCGCCACAAAACGGCAGCGTGGTGGAGGTGGGCGGACACTGCCGCCCCTGTCACTCCTCTGGCTGCTGCATCTTACCGGCTCAGCTTGTCCCAAAAGCTCCCACCTGCCCAGTAGTTAGAGATTTAGTAGCTTCCTTTTGAAAGGCGCTCTCTCTCCTTCCATCCGCCCCTTCCCCCCAATATAGGCAGGTTCAGCACAGTGAAGTCCTGCTACCTAACCTGGCATGGAAGGAACTAGAAGGTCTGACCTAGTGAGCATTGCCACGCATCCCAATGGCACGTGGTGTCAGCTGCTGGGGACAGCTTCTGCTCAGTGCCCGGGATGCTGTTGGGACTCTTGCCACTCTTGCTCCCCACTCAGGCCCCAGGGCGCCCTCCCAGCGCCGTGTCCTGGTGGCGCGTGTGCTTCGCGGTGCTTCTCCATGCCGCTCGGGCAGTGGAGATGCTGGGCTCGAGTTGATGCCACCTTTTAGCAAGCCAACTCACATCACCCTAACAGGACGCCTGTTTCACTCTTGGACCTTGTGCGGTCAGGCTACTTGACCTTGGGCTCCCCAGATCTCAGACCCCTCACAGGCTAGCATGCATTGGAAATCCCTAAGAAGGGACCAGAGGCTCTCCAGATTTCCTTGACCACAGAAACCTTTCTTGTCGATCATTAAACGGAACTCAGTTTTACTGTGAATTCTGGTTCACTTGTCAGAATTCTTTCCCCAAAGTCACAGCCACATGTAATTTTTTTAACTTTAATCCAGATATCAGTTCTGCATTTCTTATCCTCATCCTTCCTATCAGCATGGCACTAGAACTCCCTGGGTTAGCCAGTCCTCCCTCTAGTATTTATGATTAGTGAAAAGGCTGCTGGCTTCTGGCTTCATCCTATGGCTCTGACGTTCGGTTTTGGCAGACAAAGCGCCTTGATGGATAAACTAGAATTCTCGTAACTGTTGTGCGGTCCTGTGACCCACCTGGTACAGCCTCCATCCATCAGGGTAACAGAAGCTGTTCAGCCATATGCCTGATCCCTGGGTAAAGACCGCCCTGCCTGTGTCCCCAGGTACGGTAGTTGCTTCTGTGAGGTTTCCTTGTGACAAAGAAAAGGACCTTCAAGGTGATTAAGACAACATGGGTAGTCATGTCAGTCCCAGCTGCGCCTCAAGCCTAAACTAGTTTGACTTAGTGAGAGGAAAAATATAGAAGAGAAAGGAGAAAAGACCTCTCCTGGGAGGAGGGGCGTCTCGCTTGGGGTGCCTCGGCCATACACAGCTGGCATTTGGGACCAAGTAGTTCTCGGTTGTGGGCGAGTCCTGTGTGTCAGGCGAGCTTGGCAGTGTTCCCAGCCCCTAGGTAGCGGTGTCAGCGTTGGGGGAGGGGGAGCTAGACTTCTTCCTCCATAAAATGAATGTAATCATTTCCTTCCTACTAGGTGCTTAAAATTTAGTGCATCATTAACCAAAGACGTCTAAAGGAAGGATTTGAGAAAAGTTGTTGACTAGTCAATCAGCACTTTTCTTGGGGAAAACTGGTATTTTATCAAATTGTGGTGTTTTGCTGTCCCATGCTTGTTTTGTTTTGTTCCATTTTGTTTCGTTGGCTATTTGCTTTGCTCCTTAGGGGAAAAGAGAAGTTTGCAAATGTAAGAAAGATTTCATTTCTTTTAGAAAGAATATTGCAGGAATATAATTGGAACCTCTTGAGCGGTAGTTTTACAGGTTGTTCAAGAACCCTCTGACATTGCATGGAAATGTGGTGGGAATATGCACTTTTGGGGTGAGAGAGCCATAGTTGACCTCCAGTTCTTCAGAGAGACTGTGAGGCAAAAAAGAAGTGGTGGCCGGCCCCCAGAGCTGTGACCCTGACCTTGGCGGAGGGCTGCGTCTAGGCAGGGGAGGTGGGCTCTGGGACCCTGGCGCTCTCCTCCTTGTGGTGCCCCCTCAGCTTTAAAGCTACTTTTCCTGTTTCCGCAAGTGAGGAGGGGTGGGCCAAGCAAAGGTCCACAGTGCGGGGGCAGGGGATTGAGGACCACCCGCTGGCCCCCTTGGCTTCCAGGACCTGCCTCACCCAGGCTTTGCTGCCCTCATCTGCAAAACAAGGACTGCAGCTGCCTTGTAAGCAGAGTGAGGAGGAATGGATGGGGCCTGCCGGAAGGAAGCCCCTCTCCAGCAGCGGCCAGGCTCAGCTGCTCAGAAATCATCTAGCTGCTTATTTGGCCGAGACCAAACTCTGCCTGACACTGGCTGGCTGACAACTCGGTCACAACCCGGCCCGTGCATATGTTCTGTTACCTGGACAGAGCTCTGCGCTGAAGCAGGAGCAAGGGCAGGAGCTGTCTGTGAGCAAGTCTCCATTCAGGGCTCAAAAACAAAGCGGAAAAGCCTCAGCACAGTGCAGCAGCGTGGCCTGCCGCGGGGGGCTCTGGGCAACTGGACTGGGGATTGGATTGGATTCCCTTCCCAGAATAGCAACAGGAGACAGACAGAGCGGAAACAGAGTTCTGGACCGTCCTTGTACTTAACATTCCTCTGAAAGAAAACAAAACCTATTCGTTAATGTTCTGAAGATGAGCAAACCCTGACAGGGCTTCGAAAGGACACAGGGAAGCGCCCTCAACACCTGCATGCGCTAGAGGGAGGAGTTTGGATTTTATCCTGAGACCAGCATTTCCAGAAAGAGAAATGAAAACTTGTCAAGTTTCGTATCGATGAAATAAAACAGAAGAAAAATAATAGGCGAAGTCAGATACCAATGGCACCGTCTTCATAATCCCCACTGTTTACCACCGAGCGGAATCATTTCACTTGGCCACAAACCTGAAAACTGCCTCGCCTTCTAAGTAGAATGCACCCCTGCCCCTGCTGGGTTCCCCAGGACACGGGTGGGGCTCAGGGGGCTCCATGCCTCCGCTGCCGATCAAAACTCTTGAAAGCTGTGCCGTGGGCCCAGGCTCCGGTCAGAGGCTAGGCCATGCCTCCCAGTAAAGAAGCCGCGCCCAACAACCGCGCCCGGTATTTCCCAGACATTTCTAGATTTGCAATATTGGCAAAAGAAACAAAAACCGCCATATGCCAGTGGTTCTCCACTGGAGGCAACCCCAGCGGACACATGGCGGGCCTCCCACCCGGCCCTTGCCGACTTTCCTGGAGAACCCGTGGCCAATGAGTTTCCCAGGACAGCTTGTATTTTACATGTTTCGGTCTTGCAGAGGTGTTCTCGCCGCTGTGACATTGCCCCTGGCCTCACCGCTCTGCTTTGCAGCCTAGCAAACTCTTTTCCTTCGTGCAAGGTTTTGTGCAAATAATGTCACTTCTTTAGGGTGTCCCTGAGGGCCTCCAGCATTGATGACTTCATGCTCTGTTCTCACTACTTGTAATTGAGGTTTATTTTCCCCCAGAATGTGAACCCTTGGAGATAAAGACTGAATTGTAGGCATCTGTGGAAACATTTTCAGATAATTATAATCCATGAGAAATGTCTAGCTGGTAGACGATGATGAAGTGATGGGTGACTGGATGATGGAAGAAGAGGTGCATGGATGGCTGTGTGGATGGCTAGATGTCAATTTGTTTAAGAGCCTCTGGGATAGAAAGTTCAGATCGTGCCACCTTCACCACAAACAGCTCAGAGTGGACAAAGTCTCCTCAGTTTGCTGTTGGGATGACAGGCGCGCCATGCCCTTCAGTGCAGGATATGGACGCAAAGGGAAATGACCAGACTTTTCATGTGCTCTTGAAGAGATGATATGATCCTTGCAGAAAACAAAAGGGAGCAGGAAGCATTCCCACTGGTTATGGAACCACCCAACATTTGGAAAAGCAAAAATGACAGCCATTCTTGTGTTCTCTTCTGCAGGTCACCGGGAACAAAATGACATCTCTGAACCTGGCCACCATCTTTGGACCCAACCTGCTGCACAAGCAGAAGTCATCGGACAAAGAATTCTCCGTGCAGAGCTCCGCCCGGGCGGAGGAGAGCACGGCGATCATCGCCGTGGTGCAGAAGATGATTGAGAATTACGAAGCGCTGTTCATGGTAGGTGGCCCTTCCTGCGTGCCGTGCCGGGAGGCGGGTAAACCAGCACTTCATTGCCTCTTGGTGGGCTGAGGAGACTCACACACACTCACAGCTGCTCGTTGACCTAATTCAGTGGAAGCCAACGAGTAGAAATGTTCCTAACTATGGTGTCACTGTGAGTTCACGATATATGTGTAGACAAAATCGCCAAATTATCAGTTTCATCTTGTTCTCTCCTAAACAGCAGCCATGTCTCAGAGTCATTTAATTATTAATAGAGCAGTGTCCCTGAAAAATACTGACAGAACCTTTCTTTTGGGACGTAATGTGTGGCTCATGAAATCATAGCCATCCTCAGTGCTGACACCTCCTCTGAGGTCACTCCTGATGTTTACCTCAAAGCTCATGCATCTTCTGCACGCCCTTCTTACGTCCTTTTCCCACTCACGTCTCTGTCCCTGGGGCCCCGTTATTGTTATTGTTATTGTTTATTGATGTTGGTACTCCTCAACATTGTATTGCTAGCAATAGGACTGTTTCCCTTCGTGGGTTATAAATGCCTCTAAAGCATGGTCCTTGTTGTCCTCGTGCCCTTATCTCTTCTCTATCCTCTGCACACTTTTGGAATGCCCTCCATCTGGCAGGCACTCAATAAATATTCCTTTGATTTGTATTGAATTACCAGTTCCTGTTTTCCTTCAGAAAGCTGCACTGCTTGCTCCAACGTCCCTTGAGACGTCAGAACAAGTACCAATGCCCTTGCATTTCTGCTCACCTCTCATATTGCACGTCAGAATTTACAGGAACTTTCTCCGTGTGTCTTCTTTCTCTCGTCATCTTGCAGACACTCTCCAGAAATCGTACTGCTTCCAGGAGAGCTTTCACGACTTGTTCAACCAAGTGTGCTATAGGTCCCAACTCTGAGTCCCCTGAACATTTTGTCTGCACTTGTCAGCTACCTTGCCTTTGATTTGTTTCCATGCTGGTCTCACAGCAGTCATTTCTGGTAAATTTGGTTTAGAATGTTGGCCTTCTATGTCTTACCTGTGTGATTCTAACCAAGGCATTCAGTACTCGATAAACACATTTTCAGCTTCTGTGAAATGACAAAAATGTAAATAAGACCCGTTCTCCAAGCTGGTTCCCAATCTCCTATGTGAATGCATTTTCTGCAAAGTGTAAAATTCTATGCAAATGTTAATATTATCAACTGGGCAAAAAAGAAGCGTCGTCTCAAGCCTCAGCAGTTCATCACTGTAGACAGAAAGCCTGTGGACAGCCTGCCGGCTGGTGTTTCAGAAACTGCAAGCCTTCACAGCTGAACTCTGCTACCCTTTAGGATTTTATGGGGCAAGCCTAGAAAGAGCATCTTTTGTGTCCAGCAAGTCCCACAAGGCACACTGACTTCCGGGGAGGCTGGCAAGTGGATTCCCACTGGAAGCCCAGGAGGAAGAGCATGGACTCTGTCACATGAGTGAGAGGGCGCTGAGGTAACAGGGCGCCTGCCTCCCTTTGGGGGTTCAGTCCCCGGAGCGCCCCATGGTCGCCAACTCTGTGTTCATGGCCCACATTGACCCAAGCACTCATCAAGATGAATCAGATGGCTGAACTTACCGACATCTTCATTAAGTCTGAAGCTGCGTATCATTTTGCCCAGCAGTCTTGGTGTTATCTCATGCTCTCTGATTTTTTTTTTTAAACTAACTACTACCTCTCATCAATCTAACTTAATTCCTGTCTCCAAATGCTGTATTCTAAGCAGGTTCTTCATATGAGAACACAAACTCCAAGCATCTCTTGTCCCCTCAGGTAACAACTCTCTCCCTGGCCCCTGAAAGGACGTGCGCTGCCTTTCAGTGGCGGCCTTCACCCCTCCCGCCTCCTGCCCAGGGGACATTGTCCGAGCCTCACCTTGGGTTGCTGTTCTCTGTGGAGGTTGATTCTGGGCTTCTGTTGTGCCCCCACCTCCCCCACATTGTGCTCTTTACTTCTCTTGAGACCTTTCCAGGTGACCTTGTCTAAAATAGAGCATCCCACCACCCCCAACAGCCCCCCCCCACTCCCTTCCTGTCTCTTCTTAGCACTCACCAGCTACCAACGTGGGCTGCTCTGACTGCTCTTACCCGTGCTGCGTCTCCACTGGGGGGAAGCGCCACGACAGGACACACCTTCCCAGCTACGCTGTCTCCCTGTGCCTGGCACGTGGGAGAGACACCGGCAACACTGGTTGAACTCACGAGCTCGTGAATGACTCAGGGGTGGTTCTGTGATGTCTGATTTCCACATTTCCACTCCTTACTCCTTCTACCAACAGAAAGGCCCGGGCATAGAAAAATGAACCTGCTTTTCCAGAGCAGGTTAACTGTGACTGTAAGCATCCTCGACCTCCTTAGCTGACGGGAAGTATGTATCTGCATATCGAGAGGACAGTGAAGTGGGACGCAAGATCCCCAGCTTGAGTCAAGAAAGAACCACTAGTGGTCGCTGTTGCCCTGTTTGCTTCACACTAGCTTCGTGAGCTCCCCTCAGGTTTGTTTCTTGACTCATCAAAGGACTCGGTGAGAATGAGCAATAACCAACCCCCCCCCCCCCCACTATTCCTAAAATCTGCGTGGCTCTTGGCCCTCGCACTGACTGCGGCCGTTTCCCATAATGCACGGAGGCTCCTTTATCTCGTAACTGTGTGCCTGCCTTCTCATGGCGTATTTCGCATTTCAGCATCGAATTGGTTTAGACCAAAACTGGTGGCTGGTTGGCAAGGCTGGTTCTGTGCAGTGCACGAGGATTCCATCATATAGAGAGAGATGTTGTAAGAAATGTTCCAAATTAGTAGAATAATTGCAAACAAAGAAAAGGAAGCTAGTCACCACCTGCTGGTTAAAGCAGCTAACCAGTCTGCTGTCCACAAGCCTTGGAAGGGTTCACCAGCTCAGAAGGGGGCGCGGCTTCCATGGCATGACACAGGAAGACTCCTTGGAAAAGGTGGCTGTGAGTCTGTCCTTGGAGACAGAATGCACCCTGGAGGCAGTGATTCCACAGAAGAACTGAGGGGAAGGCTATGAAACCCACAGAGAGCTGGCAGAGACCCAAGTTTGTTCTGAGTGTTAGAATGGCCTTCATTTCCTGAGGGTGAGGGTGCCGCTCCCAAGTGGCCAGTATCCGAGTTAATGGGAACGAGCAGAAAGGAATCTGGCGTTTTCCCATCGTATGCAAGAGCGCCTCTGTTCCGCGGCCGACACGTGGCCAAAGAGCCTGGGCAGCCCAGGCCACTGCAGTGTGGCCGCGTCTCAGGCGCCGGCCTGCACCGCCCTGCCTCGGGACAGGTTATGACGACAGCTGTCGCGACCATGTGTGCAGAGACCCAGGCAGCAGCCTGTAAGAGGAGCTCCCGAACTCGAGCACTCGGCAGATGTGCGAAGAGATCCAGCGGCCACACTCCAGAGGATCAGCGTGAGCGGCACGGGGCAGGGCCCAGGAGTCTGCATTTTCGGAGGGATTCCTCCAGCTGCCGCATCCTGGAAAACCACACGCTGGGAAACACTCAAGTGGGTGGAAGACCGTGAGCTCTGGAGCGGGCCTCCAGAACGCGGATCCCCGCGTGTGACCTTGGCCTCAGGTGTAACTCCCGGGAGCCCGCATTTGCCTGATGTGGGTGGCAGCGTGACTTTGAGAACTAGAAGCGCCATTTTAGGCACGTGGGCTGGGAGCGGACAGGTCCGAGGCACTCAGAAGAATGCTGCCATGGGGCACTCAGGGGCTGAGGTGCTCCCTCTCCGGCCCCTCCAGGCTCACCGTGGCAACCACGTGACACCAGCACCTGCGCCCGCGCGCTCTGCTCCTCCTTCCTGCCCTGCTCGTCCTGTCTTCGCTCCACAGTGCTCACCCCCTTGCTGCTCCCCATGTCGATTTGCTGTGCTTCCTGAAACTTAGCAAGATGCACATGTTCCGAAGGCGGGGACGTTTTGTTGGTTTTTGTCACCGACACCGGCAGCGCCCCAAAGCGTGGCAGAAAACGGGAGCTCAGTGAGTGGCTGAGTGAGTGCACCGGCAGCCGAGGGCCACGGGGCAGGGTGTTTCCATGGCCCCTTGGCTCCAGGCTCCCTGCCCACGCCCTCAGAGCCCCTCGCCTGGAACTCGTGGCCTTCCGTTTCTGGTAGCAATGGCTGTGGAAAACTGGAGGTGGCAGGAGAGAGAGAGGAACAGGGTGTCGGCCGCGGGCTTGGTGGCGGGTGAGGGAAGCCGTGCCCCTGTGTCGGGCTCCTCCGAACATTAGCTGTGTATGTGATGGGCAAACGACTTTTAAAAGTGGATGACAGACAGGGGTAGGTGATGGAAGAAGGCAGGTGATGGGAGAGAGGAACCTTTGCTATCCACTGGGGCACTGGTGTCCCACGGAGCAGGGCGTCATGTTTCAACCACAAGCATGATGCTCGCTCCCTGCCTGTGGCCTCTGGAACTACGGACCGACCGGACCGAGCTGGGGGGTGGGAGTGTTCTAGGAGAAACTCGGGAGGAGTAAGAGTTCCAAAGCAAAGTGAGGAAAACTGACAGAGGTTGTGCCACTTCCCATGAGGCTTCCCTCTGGGAGAAAGGGGCAGCAGAGAGGCCCCTGTGATAGGCTGACGAAATCCCAGGGCAGAGTCGTGGGAATGCGTGCTGGTTCCCACCCGCTGCTCTTCAGTCCGCCTGAGCGGGGCCTGCAGAACGCGCGTGGGAAATTTCAACGGAGAACTGCCTGGAGCAAGGGTCAGAGCCCTGCGTGAGGCTTCCAAGCCTGGAGGCCAAGCTTTGCCTGTGTTCTCTTCATTCCCGACACAAATTGCATTTTCTCCAAGCCACTCTTGCAAGTGCAGCGGCCGCTTAGGCCATGAGACCACGAAGCACCCCCGTCGGCACACCAGGCCATTCTACCTGTTCCCTGGCCTTCTTTATATGACCTTTATTTCTGGACTAACAGCTGTCTGTGTGCCTGGGTCAGGCTTGCCAGTAAGGACCTCACCAGCTTGTTCACATTCGCC